TGTGTTTCAGGGTAGTTTTGTTGGATGGTTTTAGAGGGACACCAAACGGAAAACTCGCCCTTTTGGGGGTCCTCTAAAAAAGGCGCTCAAATGCTGAGACACTGCCAGGAGGGCCCTCCTTCCGGTACACCGGCTTTCCGTGGTTGGACTCTTTGGTGTTGTACACGCCTTGGATGATGTTGGACACGGTCTCATTGCTGCACCCTGACCTCAGCGCCGCGCAGATTGCATGCGGCCGCCACGCGCGCACGCGCGGAAAAACAAACACAACAGAAACAAACCATTGGAGGAGTCGACCCGGGTCAGCCATTCTGAAAATTGATGATTTGACAAACATAAGTAAGTGGAACAAGTGGCCAGAAGATGAAGCAACTAATCAAGAGGTGTTCATAAGTTGCTGGCAGCTTGAATAGCTAAGCGTTGTTCAGTGACGAGGTTGGTGTCATTGAGCCACAAAATGAGCCCGACCACGAATGGAGGGGACAACCTCCCACCTTTGCCCACTTCTCTCGGGACTTCCTTTTCCCAGGCCTCCAGCAGCAAGGGCAAAAAAAAGGAAGGGCCACTTGTCTGGCACGTTCACATTTCAGGGAAGCCTCCCAGAACGGAAAGCCAAAAGCAAGAAGAGCGGGTAGCGGGTTCTGTCGGCTGGGCCGCACGTGGATGGTGGGCTCCACCGCCGCCATGGACGCCGGCGGCGGCACCGCGGCCCCGCGCTCCGCGCGCGGCCGCGCGGCGGGCGCCCGAAGCGCTCGGCCCGCGGGCCGTGGGAGTCCCGAGCGTCGCGCGCGTCGCGGTAGCGGTCGCCTCGACGTCCACGGTCAAGTGGGAAACCGAAAGGGAAACACGAGCATTTGTTCGGGGAAGCCCAAAACCCGAACCAATCTTGAACCTTCGCAATGGGATTTGGTGTGTTGATTTGAGAGGATGGACGTCCTCATTCACTGGCGCTTTCACTTTGCAAAACCGGAAACGGTCCAGTCTAGGAAACCCTTTGGATTGGTGCCGTCCTTCAAATTAATTAATCCGAATGGACACTCATAGGCCGTAGGCTCCTGTTGCGGAACTGAATCCTCCGGTGGGGTGATTCGCAATAAAACATAACGGATGAAGCCATCTGTACAAAGATATCAACTTTCTATGAGGGTTTACACAAGGTGGTGCTGTTCACAGTGCATGCTGTTTCATTTATAGGGGGGGGGGGGGGGGGTTGCATCTTCACAGTGCATGCTGTTTCCGCGTGAAAACAGCCCGGAGCAAATGCTATTCGCTGCAAGCCAAACACAGGATCACCGAGGGTTGAATGGCAGCTGTCCTCCCCAGCGATGAGAAGAGACACGTGTCGGCCAGCGCAGGAAAAGCTTTGGACTTTGATGAACTCTGCTGGCATAGGGAAATTCACACAAACCCCGCAAGCATGAAGGGGATGACAGGCAAATCAGCACACAAAGGATCCTAGGACAATGCCCCGAGAACCCCCCAGAAAAGCCCACAGCTTGCGTGATAGACGCGACCTGTTCATGAGGCTATTTTATTTGTCAAAGACAAGAGGTCCACAGGTCCACAGTTCCACTGTACGTCTCCATCCACCAAGCCAGTTCCAAGCGTTTGATGCCTTACATTTTACCTTGAGGTTCTTTGTGTGATTGAACATGCCTGCTATTCTGCTACAACTGCCGAGCAACTCTCAAGAAGGACTCCTAAGAAACTGCCCCAATGCCGTCCGGATCCTCAAACACTTCGCCCGCTCCGCGACTGCTCCGCACGCGCCTTCTCTGCGCTCGTCCCTCCGCGGCTCGTTCCGCGGCTCGTTCCGCGGCTCGTTCCGCGGCTCGTTCCGCCGATCGTCCCGCCGCTCCCGGTCGTAGACAGGCCGATCGCTGCGGGGCGGGCCCGGGGGCGGGGGTCGGTCGCCGGGCCGGTCGCCAGGCCGGTCGCCCGGGCGGTCGCTCGGTCTGGCAAAGCCGCCTGGCCGTGGCCAGTACAAATGCGGAGAATATGTTCTGACCGCCCAAAAAAGCAAACACTTAGACATATCCATTGAAACAGTTTCTAGCGGCAATGCAATACCACACATGCCTGAAGACCTCCCAAGGGTGCCAAACATTTGAGTGTGAAATATCAGTGTGATACTTCAGTACCCTTTTGAAAAAAAGCAACAAATATCTACATGCACACTTAAGAGAAGGGGCGGGCACTTGCATATAGCAGGCTGAGACTGGACGTAGCGGTGTTTATTTTTTGTGTGTGGCGCACTTACACCAATGACGCTGTTTAAAATGTGGGGGGATCTCCAACATGGTGCGTTCTTGGGTTTCCCTTTAAAGGAAATTCATGCACACCCACTTGAGCCGAGCAAACGAGAAGCTTTCCCCCCATCTGCGAGCCTCTCGCTGGCGGGGCCGGTCGATCTCGGAAGCTGCTGGGACCTGCTTGTCGTATGCAAGTAGGGATAAGAGATACCCTCCAATTTCTCATGGTGTGCGGTTGGTGTACAGTACTTGTACCGACCGTATGGAGGAGGGGTGTGTGTGTGTGTGATCATGTACCAAGACATGATACCTGCAAAGACCTCATGGGCATAATGAATCCTCGAGTATGGCCCCCTCCCAGTGAATGATGCCCAGACCAATCTACTGAACCGGCCACAAACAGTCATGGTTCGGCCGCCCCCTCGACAGAGGGTGCTAGTGGGTGAAAGGAGAATGAGAAAGCTCCGAAATGAAACCGCAGGTCGGACACAAACAATGGGATGGCAAAGGTTTGAATGACTAAGTTTGTTCAGGGTTCTTGAATGACCATCCCACTCAAGAATACTTTATGCTCTCAAAGCGGGATGGTCCATCTCCAGGACCCTTCAAAGTCCTGAGACACTCATTGCAGGGAGATATGTGGCTTCCAACCACCAAAAGGAGCTTTGTCATGCCACGTACGGATAGTGGTGTGGTTGCTGGTATCCCTGCACATTTCAAAGCGAGCTTAAGAAACAAACTCTTACTGTTGGCACATCTACACTACTGCAGATCAACATGGAACCATGAAGGAAGAATGCTTCAGAGGAATTAGCTTTTGGGGTCCCTATTTTGGCCATGATAACTAGAAGGGGTTTAGTGAGCAACAATCAGTTAGCATGCAGAATCAATAGTTCTGCAGCAGACTTTTGGTCAGTATGGATATTAATTCTTGTTGGATCCCTTTGATTGTTGCTGATTGTTTCTCACTCCGCAAACGTCGACACATTTTGCCCTCTCCTGCCTCCTCCACGCATTTCTCCCCGGTAGGTCGGCGGGGGGAAGTGGCTTGGCGGATGCCCGCCCGGCGGGGGCGGAGGGCCCGGGGGTGGTCCTCCCCGAAAGTCTCGGTCTTTGCCTGGCGAATGGCGCTGCTGGATGGCTATGACTTCCTGGTTTGTGGGACAATCACCACTCCGCAAAAAGTGAAATCAAAGGTTAAGGATCCAACCCAATAGCATGAGGGAGGCTTGAAGTGATAATTTAACCTATGGAGCGGATTTCCATTTGAGCCAGCATTCGGAGGATAACTCTCAGGATGTCACTTTCATGTACCCAGTTATTTAAGAAGGGGGTGAATTCTTACGATGGGCTTAAATGTGATCATAGAATCATAATCTTGAAGACTTTTCGGCCCCTGATTAGAGGTGCCCGAAAGTTTAGAGAGAAGCTGAAAAAACAAAATCAAGCCAATGATCTATGTTCGCGGCTCGGAGAAACCTGAGGTGTGTTTGTTCCCCATGTCGCGACAAACAAATCCAGCCCATCTGTCACGCGTCTTAAGTGACATATGGAGCCCTCAAAATGGGCCAAGGTCTCAATGGCCAGGCTTGCACAAACTCGTTTATTCAAGGTATAGCACAGCAGTTCGCGCACGTTGAAACACACGGTTGGCCTTGTGGCCTCGGTGAAAGCCCCTGCCTTTGCCCTTGCCATGGCCGTACATGGCGCTCGGAGAAGGCGGTCCCGCGCGACCAAACAAAAACGGGCCCGTAGAGGTGGAAGGGCTGGAGGTTGTGTTCTGCGATTTGTTGTCCGCTGTTCTTGGCTGGCTCAGTGGCTGGCAAACAAGTAGATACTTCATCTACCTGCCGTGCAGTGACATGTGTCCTTAACCTGAGAACTACGGCTACGGCGAACCAGCTCAGATCAAGGATCTAACATCGCCTACGTTTCTGCCCCAGAATGGTGCTCCTGTGCAAAGGCCGGAAGCATGGCTGACCCATCTTCGAAGGGCTCTAACAGGTCCCCATGCCCAGTGCTCCCATGGAAAATTTGGCAGTAACTTTGAACAAGTGGCCCTGAGGCTACAAGCAGCTGCTCTTGACCTGCAAGTGGGTGTTTCTCATCTGGGACTGCGTTGGTTGCATTGAAACACAGGGGGTTCACCATTTTGCGAAACCCTGGGCTTGAGAGAGGGCTTCTGCATTGCTTTGGGGAGGGCGCCAGTGTCTCACGTCAGAAGTCCTGGGTACGTCTAGACGGGGGTTGCTTTCAAGCAAACATTAGAAAGTCAGCACAGTCGAGGAACGACGCACAAGCAAACGAGCGCCGAAGCATGAAACCTTGCTATCTCTGTTTGGTTGCTCTTGGGAAGTCCACCGCACATGTCAGCTTGAACACTCCACAACTGCCAACATAGAATGGTATACGTGCACCGGCTGCGGGGTCTTCCAACGTTTGAAGGCTCAAATCCGTGAAGCACGTTTCTTGGTTCAGTTTGGACAAGGAGTCTTGGACCAAAGGAGGCACTTTAGAACACGTAGCATGTCTAAGCGCTGGCGAGGCAATGGTTGGCTTGATGCGTTTGGTCTTTCCCAGCTGTCGGACATGTGGGCAAAACTGTTGATCTTGCTAGAGTGGAGGTCGCGATGTCTTACGAAAGTGTTTTCAGGCGAGTTAACTTCCCAAGTGTTGCAGTCTTTGTTGGAAGGTGCATGGTTCAACAGGGCATTTTTTGGTGCATCCCCCCGGCTGGCTCTTGGCCGGTCCTCCAAGCTCGGCTCCTCGGCTCGTCGGCTCGAAATGTGGCAGCTTCACTCGATGACTCAATCCTTGACGTTCCACCCGACACCTAGGATCAATCGGGCGAGATACCAAAGGTTGACCCAGCGACAGCGGCTGGGTCAAAGAGGGGCCACAGAAAGGAGTCGGCAATTGAGGGAAGTGCCCGTTCTACCGTGGCGGCTTCAGCCTCCAGGAAGGCGAAAACACTTCGTGCAGTGTGCAGGTGTTGTGAGCAGTACCTTGTTGGTTGAGCGACTAGAGCTGTCAGGACATCGACTGCAACAGCTTGGGAACGCATGAAAAAACAATCCTTGCGGCCGTTCACCCACACGGCAATATACAATGTAGGTAAAATGTGAGCGCTCGTGCAGAAGGGCACCCAAGCTTGTGCAGGACAAGGGCTTATCTCAGCAAAAAGGCATCCAGAGCTTCAACTTGAAAAACCGCATAACCTCACATCTTGAGGTGATTTATCTGCTTGGGGCTCCGACTCATCCTTCAGCGACCTTTTCTAGGGTTAGGTATGAAGCCGTAGGGAACGCTGGGCAGTACCCCCTTTATGTAGCTTATAAACAGATCTTGCTTGCCCATGGTTCCCAAAAACTGTCTTTGACCCGTGGAGCTTTGCAAGACGTGGCTGGAGGCAGCCTATCTCAAACGGAGTGCGAGGGGTCTGCTTTGAGGGGTATTTCATGGCAATGGCAACCAGTAAGTACTTGATTCCTGAGTGCATTGGCCAAGAAGGTTTGGGGCTTAGCGCTTAGCTATACTAAAGTGGTCTTCCCAACAAATTGAAAGTTCAGGAACACAGGGGGTGAGACGTGCGATCGCAGCGCACATGAAAAACAAATGCAACAAGCATGCGACGCGCTCGCCCCAGATTCATGCGGTCAACCAAGGCAGGGCGAACCTGGTCTTCACAAGGCAAACGCTCGCATATTTCGCACATGTGGGGTATCCCGCTTCCGGTGCATGTGCTCTTCTAGGGTTGATTGTTGCACTTTCCACGAAAACCCCGCTGATGAATCGGAAAAATCTCAGTCACGCTCGAGATCGATAAACATTCCCCATCCTATTTTCAGGAAAGTTGGGTGAGTTCCCCCTATTCTCTTTCTGAGCTTCCCCATTCCCCAGACATGGGAATATGGCGGCATAAACGGAACTTCAGGGGTCGCCGGATAAATTGAATCAACCATAATCAACCCCTTTTGCATGAGAATCCTGCTACCCAGCGATATCGCGCCTCGCGGTCGGATCTGGACGGGTCTTCTGGGAGGTCAACCTCAAGCTGAGGGGCCCACGTTCGAGCATCCTTCACTCTGTGCAAGTGACGGCGGATCCTCAACTTGGCTCAGCACTTGAGCGCGGGTGCGCCCATCTGAAATACTTTGCTAGGACCATTTGTCCAAGAAGTTGCGTCTCCCTCAAACCAAATAATTACGTTCAAAGTGTGCCATGCTACATCTATCATGGCTTCTCAGGAGATGTACATATCAACACTCCCGCCAAAAGCGGCAAGAACCGCACAAGCAGTACGCACATTTCAGACGTGTTCCTGGTTCCCGTCCCTCCCGCGACCCGACCTGCCCCAGGATCGAGTCTTCGCCGAGACGTCGCCGAACCGCCGCTGCGCAGGGCCGCTTGGAGGGAACATCATCGAGCAGCGCGGCGATGACGCGCGTCAACCTGGGCGTCTGCGGCTGACTGCTCATATCAGGTTGACTTTGTCAACGTTCGGGCCCATTTCTATGAATCATTTCCGGAATATTGCAAGCTCCCTATTGGCTTCAGATCCATTTCGCACCAGTTGGTAGGTGGCGTGTACCAGGAGTCATCGGGTTTCATCGATACCACCTGGTGCGAAGTGGATTTTGTCCAGCCAGGCAATGAACTGCCAACAGGGTAGCGTCTTAGCACAGGTGCGACTCGCTCTTTACGACCCTACCCGCATTTTGCAACGAGCAGCTCTGAGCCGTCCAGCTTCACAAGTTTCTGGACATCAGCGCCTGAGAGCACAGCGAAAGTCCCCTTGGGACCCTTGTACTAAATATGGTCGATACTCAAAAACCGGCAAAGAACCAAGGGACGGCATCTATTTGTGGTGGGGAAGTTCGCTTACTAATCTTCACTTACACGGGTTTGATTTTGGCTTAGCTTGGGTTGAGGCAACTCGCACAGGTCTCCCTCCAGCAATGGACACGATGACATCCGAATGGGAGATTAACATACAGCTAGGTTGGACTCGAGGTGCGTGATGGAAACGCTCAAACCAGTGCCACTGCAGCGAAAAGCTGCAAAACCACACCATCGCATGTGTCAGTTCACTCCTCCACTTGACCATTCACTGTATCAACATGACTTCGGGCGGGCCTGCCTGGAACTCTCGTCCCTTCTGTTCAGACTCTTTAGTCCTGTTCAGCGGACACACCAATGTCTGCAAACCAGCAAGGCAACAACGGAAAGCGACTGCCTTGGTCTGTGGCAGCATGGGTGCGAAGGGAAAGCAAAGGAAAGCGTGGGAACGCAAGGGAAGCAAAGCAAAGCAAGGGAAAGCAAGGGAAAGCAAGGCAAAGCAAGGGACAGGAAGGCAAATCACGCAAAATACATGCACTTGTCTCGCATAATGCGTACAGCATGCATACAACATGCAGGTTCAAGGTCGGCATGCCAGAGCCCGAGATGCAGACAAAGCACACAAAGATGCATGCTGCGCCAGTTTGCATGCCCAGACAAAATGCAAGCAAAAGGCAGACAACATGCAGCACCATGCATGAGATGCACCTCCCATGATGGCCTTCTCTATGCATGTTGGACACATGTTGGCACGGAAAACACTCAGCTGGGCCAGAGCAAAACAAAGCCGACAATTTCCAGAGAACTGCATGCCAAACATGCATAAAAGGCAGACCAAAAATGCAAGGCATGCGTTTCGTTCGCATTTTGCATGCATGTGAAAGGTATCCACATACAGTACCCACACTAAATGTAGACAAAATACATATCAAAGAAATGTCGCATGAAATCCCCCTCTCCCGCGTAAGGCATTCGTAACAGAAATGCAAACAACATACATACGGCATCGCCGACATCACCAGGCAGCATCTCCAGCATCACCAGCCAGCATCTCCAGCATCACCAGCCAGCATCCTGAGCAAACACCACAAACCAGCATCATCTGCGACAGGTGCTGGCCGCTAGGAAACTGCTAGAATTAGACAACCAGAAAATATACCCTCAGACTGGTCTCCCACCATCTGCGTGCTGCTAGGCACCCCTCGTCCTCCCCAAATACACAATAGACTATCAATTCTGCGACTTGCTTTAAACCACCTGACAGGATGATACTCAGAAATTGCAAGAAGGCCCTCCGCCCCATCTGGGGGCCCAAGCGACGTCTTGGCTCATGGCCAGTGAGCGCCCAGAGACCGATGGCGCCCAACTGCCATAGGTCAACTGCAAAGAAGTCCAACGCCTGCGCCGAAGGTACCCCCGGTCGATGTACCTCAAATTCATTCGAGTCGGATGCTTGGCGCATGGGATCTGCATGTTTTTCAGTTTGTTTGCTTGGATGTGGTTAATTGGAGCATCCAATGCATTTCTGTGCAAATGATATACAATGAGTCGAAACCCCTGAAACACAGCATGCCCAAGTAAGAACCTACAGCATGGTGAAGTCGTTCTCACCACATGTGAGCTCGCCGTTAACAAAAACAAAAAAAATGCAAATAGGATACGAACCCAACTGTCCTCCCGCCGGAATTAGAGCAGCACTCCAAACAATGACTAACACAAGCTGAAGAATCTGGAAAACCTCGGATCTCTGGAGACTTCGCGCATCGTTGCCACTGTTGCTTCAGCAAATCAGCAAGTGCAGGTGGCAATTCGGGCGAGAAACACAGACGTGCAAGTACACCTGTGAACGCAGCAAGTATACCATCACACCTCTGTGGCACATCACCAATTTGCTCGTTGATCACGCACTGTATTTACAGTATGGGATGTAACCAGCCCAAATTGCTCCACGCAACTTGAGGGGATGTGGCGGGCCTCTTCTTAGTTGCGTTGAGACCTGTTGGAGGTATGCGGACCGAGTTGGCATTCTTTGCCCCGGCAAAATACATAGTTGCAAAGGACCACCTTGTCTCCAAATATGAACAACATGGCAGAGTTTCTGATCTCGCGCTACAGCCGAAATGGCTAAGTAATCAAAAGGTTGGCTCCAGTCACCCTGAAACATCTGGGTTTAAATCTGGGTTCTCACTTCACCTTCCAACAATCTTACCCGAAGGACACTCAGTTAAAATGGATATGAACATCAACACCACCTTAAAGGAGGAACTATGATACTACATGGACCCAAAACACACTCAGGTGACACCATTGGGACAGTTGAGCTACTCTCGTGCCGGAGCTGCCCCAAGAGGGGTGCAATGGCGTGACCTACGAACCCTCAGCAAGTAAAGCAACAAGATACGATAGGCGCCCAAAATACGATTTGCAAGTGGGCAGCCAGGGGTTCCCACAGTTTATGGCAATATTCAGGGCATCCATCGTGTTGTAATACATATGCTGCATATGCTGTATGTTTAGATTTTCGGGCGAGGCTGCACGACTTCCACGCAAGAACCGGTGCAAGCCAGGCCTGGTCCGCATTGCCTGCAGAAGGCCAAAGGCAGGTCACACCAAGGGAATGTGTAATGGTGCCTGATCAACCAAAGAGTAGCAAATACAAGAACAACAATCCAACACGATTCACCCCCTCACAAAAAAAAACCCCCCCCCAAAAAAAAAAAAACGTTTCCCCCCCCCCCCCCCAAACAAAAAAAGAACATTGGCAAACAACAAATGAAATGGCATGGCTCCGTGGACTGGCGGAACAAAGCGGAGCCCAAAAAAACGGCCCGGACATCCAATGAACAACAGAAGAAACAAAGGGGAAGATTGGAACTCAGGTCATTTGTTCTGTTTATGATTGGTTCACAACCAACCGGCAACTCATGTGGAAGCGTGTTCACATCCTTGGCATTGGCATTGCAAATCTGCAATTGGCATTTAATGATATCCGCGTGATGGGCCGGCTGACTTTTGCCAGGAATCAGGGCTCACCATTCTCTCAGTAAGAGGACTATGCCGGCACGTTCTGTCTTTGTGAGACGCTGGTTTTCCATCCAATCATGTTCATCTCCGGCTCATAGTCACGTACTTGTTCCCACCAGGAGATGAAAAATCACCAAACAACTCATTCATCAAATGGGGGCTTGTTGACCGGGGCTCAACATGAGGCGTGGAAGGGCATCGAGGGCCTGCATTGTCACCATAAATCAGGTGGGCAGCACCCAAAACCCATCGACTGTTCTAACATGGCAGGTTTTACATAGACATTGCTGTAGCCAAACAAAGCGGTTTTGGGCGCTCAGCTAACTTGTGGGCCATCAATCAAGCTGAGAAGAGTCAATAATTGCCGACGCCCGTTGATGGGCAATCAGTGGTTTCTCCACAAGAGCTAGAAAGGCATTACATGGGCTCCTCTTGCAGGAGTGCCATCTTTAAGTCTCTCTTGATACGTGATTCGTATCACAGCGTCAACATGTGTCAACTATGGAACCGCCGCTCTAGGCCGCCCCTGCCGATTTTGCTGCGCCGATGCAAGTGGGCGTTGCCCAAAATCATGGTGGTTTGAGACGGCGTGCTCCAGGAAACCCAACGCCAAAAGGAGACTCTGGGGCAAGCGACACAAGTGCTCACAAACAGGCTTCAGCTTCAGCCAAAAGCATGGCTCGTTCGTGCCTGGCCTTTCGGATTCCTCCTTGCCTCCTGGGGACGGGGAGAGCCCGGCTGGACGGAGAGAAAAAAGGAACACAGAAAGACATAGAAATAAGCGAAGGCGCTGACGATTTGGGCGTTCTTTGATTGGGATCCCGGTGTGGCGCGCGAACCTTGAAAAAAACCACCCAACCACAGGCGGCCTTGCAGGCCTTGACTTCCGGTTCGCTGCGCAAGACGCAAGTCTCGGCTTTTTGGCCAAGTACAAAATAGAGAAACCCAAGGCCCCCCCAACGACCCAAGATTCATAGTACCTTCTTAGGGGCTCTTTGCCCTGACCGCTTCATGGCGTCCTTTCAAAAAAGGCAGTTGGGAAAACGACGGGCAGTGACCAATGAAGTGCGCCCACTGTGACTGAGCATCGGAGTGCATTAGGCCCTGCCCGCTAAGACACTGAAACTAGCAAAAAACGGCGTGGGTCCAACTGGAAGTCTCTCTAAGAATTATGTATATATAAATATATATCTATCCGCCGACGTGGAACGCAAACTGATAGCCCCCAACCTCGCCACGCCTGCTCCCTACTGTAGGTCCAAATGTTAACACCACCAACATCCACAAAGCTGCACGCATTCTACATGCAGCCCGTGAAAATGCTGGGGGTGTTGCCTAGTTGGCGTTACTTATATATATATATACTAATATATGTGTATGTACATATTGTGATCCGATTACCAGGGCGGGTTTGTGGTGGGCTAACGGTGAGTTGGGGTGGGTTGGTTGGCTTAGGGTTTTCTCAAGGCTAATCTTAAGGGTGCAGTGCTGGTTCAAAATTTCAAGTGGGTTTCATGGTTAGTTCACTGTGTGCTTTCGGGTGGGTTTAGGGCAGGCTTAGGGGGTTTCATGGTTGGCTTAGGGTTGGTAAAGGGTGGGTTGGGCATATGTTGGGTTCAGGGTGGCGGGTGGGTTTTCAGGTCAGGTGGCAAAGCCACCCTTGGAAGGCGTCAGCGAAAAATGCACAACCGGTGCGTGTGCGGGTCTGGTTAAGGGTGGGTCTCGAGGCCGGCTTTGGTGTGGGTCTTAGAATGGGCTTAGAGTGCGGCCAGTTCAGAGTGAATTATCGAGTTGTTTTCCGTGATGTTTCCTTTGTGCAGTCTTCAGCGAGCTGTGAAAAGTTGGAAGCTGTCAAGCCTCTGCGGTCTTTTGCAACCGCTAGCAGAATTACGCGCAACCTGCAGGCCTCTTTCGCCCATTTGGGCAGGCGGCTCGCTGGCGGCTGACTCTTGTCGCTGCTTGCGTGGCCGGTATTAGTCAGCATCGACATGTATGTATACATATACATTATATATATATATATAGATAGATAGATATAAAGATAGATACATACATACATACATACATACATACATACATACATACATACATACATACATACATACATACATACATACATACATACATTAGATAGATAGATAGATAGATAGATAGATAGATGGGTAACTAGATGGTAGATAGGTAGATAGATAGATAGATAGACGAGATACGTGGATAGATAGATATGTGTGATTATTTATATATATATATATATATATTTATTTATTTATTTATTTAAGTTTATTGCACTCACATGCCGCGAGCCAAGCCGCAAACCAAACGATTTCTGTGCCTCGAGCTTCTGGTGGACCTCCGCCGGCAGCCAAAGATCTAAGTCCTCCTCCTGCACGGAGAATCGATTCAGACAAAATGGGTATGTGTCGAAAGGGGGACCCCTGAAATGGCTTAAACAAAAAAAACACACACACACACACACCTCCGGAGCTGCAAAGCTGAGCCCGTCTCAAGATCAAAGACTTCTGAAAGGTGGCAAAAAGCAAAAACAGTCACCCATTGGAAGACGAATTGTGTCATGAACAACATGACCCCCTTACAAAAACATGGTCTTAGGAATCTCCTGCTGAACTTGGACTCCTATAGGGTTTCATATTTAGCAGCGTTGCTTTAAAGCTGTCACTTGACTTTGTTCAAAGGACCGGCTCGGAGCATCCTTGTTTTATCCTCGCAGTAATTTTGTTCAGGCCGTCCATGCCAATCAGAGGAATCCCCGTAAACTATCTCCATCCCACGCTGCCTGGGGAATCACCCCTGATTAATGCGTTCCTCCGGATGAATCCGAAACCAGCATCAACCCGTGTTTTGTTGGTAGGTTTTCCAGGATTTCACCCACAGCGGATGCTCTATCGCAAACGAGCCACTGTCAACCCAGTCGCCAGGCCCTAAATGTTACAGGGAACAAGTGGAACCCATTCCCATGGCTAGTGGTGTACTTGCACTACTTAGAGCCTCACCGTATCTAGGGCGTCAAATACAAAGCTTCGAAACCGGGTCCTTGCCGCCCAGCGCGGACAGGAGCCGAAGCTTGGGCAGGAAGTCTCCGAGCTTGAACCTGACCATGATCCGCAAAACAAAAACCGAGTTGGAAATACCCCGTTGGTTATGGATGGTTTATCCTGGATGAAACCAAGTTGCATGGGTGAACCAACCACCATGCCAACTGTCTCTGCCATTCTCTGCCAGGTTTCGGGAAGTTGGGAATGAACCGAAAGGGGATTCCAAAAAAGCCCTGAAAACCAAACTGCAGAGGAGCAGCTAACCAACAGTTGCTGGGGGGTTTGGGGCGCAGCTCATGTCATCGCTGGATGGTTCAAAAGCTGGTTGGCAAAGCGGGCTCGCACCCATGTGACCAAGTGATGGCAGGATGGTTATTATAAAGATTTACCTTAGGCCTTAAAGCAACCCTGACCAAGCCATGTGGTCAAAAGAGCACCCAATGTACGTGCCTAAACAACTTCATTGGTGTTGACATACCCCGCAACCACAAACTCATCATTTAAGTTCAGGCCCCAGTAGTACGTGAATTTCCAAAACTGCTCAGTTGGTTTGGACCCCCCTTCAACTAGACCCTGAATCCCCTTGAGCACCAACTATGCAAACATCTCGCGGGGTACTTGAAACCGGGCCAAGGGAACGGTCCAGTCAGCTATCTATGGTGTGTGGGTTCCAAAACTCGGGAACCCTTACAATCCCTTATACATGGTGTTCTTGTGGGCGGGGACCCGAAATGGTGGTTTCCTTTCGGCTTCCCTTTGAACCAAGATGCAAAGGTACCCTCAAAAAACACAGGCACACACACACACACACCATGTGAGTGGCTGTTGGAAAAAACCAACAGCTAAGAGACTCAACAGCACGCCGTGTGGCTGGCATGATGAACGTAGTACACACACTAAGCAACTCTAGGAAAAGCAGTTGCCTTCAGGATGCCAGTGCCCTTACCTAAGGCTGGATAGGCAGCTTCACTGAACGGAGCCAAGTTCTTGACACTTAGCTCCTCGCTTCCCCAAACCAAGCTGCTCGCATTTCGTGCCCTTCAGGAAGATGTTGCGCGGGCAAAGGCAGCAGTGGGCTATGCCTGTGCAACGGGCGCTGGTAATAGTCAAGGATACGTAATACTCTTCAGCATGCAAATGACGTGGGTGAATTCAGTCGCCACACTTGGCCTGCTAAATCGAGAGGCAGCTCGCTGCTGCAATTTAATCGAGCCCATCCGAATCCAAATGGTTTCTCATTTTGGTAACGTTTCAAACCTTGGAACAAGAGTTCAATTGGATTCAACACACTGAATGAGTTGACCTTTGGACCCAGTGCCGATGTTCCTCTCCTTCCCCACACAGTTGCTCAATTCCCGGCATCCTCGCATAAGTCACTTTGGAGGGTGCAATTGGACTTGGTTCTTCAACCCTGACCTGTGCTTCTTATGAGGCAATAGCCGAGTGTTTTCTTGGATTTGCTGCAGTTCTCGGAAGAAGCACCCAGCACATTCAGCATCGGATTGTCTGGCGATGTCAGGCACTCGTCTCTCACAAAGACCCATAGAATCTTTCATGGAATCGGGTTCAGACCGGTGGCTTCGAAGCATCCTTCTGCCGAAGTAGCCTGCTGGCCTGCTCGCCTGGAAGCAAGCTAAATAATGGAGATAGCTTTAGAAGCACCCGCACCGTGTTGTGGGAAGCTACTCTGTTCTGTGTGGGGGTTCCCGCGAACAGCACACAGCCAGAGCACCAAATCACCCTGCTGTCAACTTGGGATGCATTGATGCGGAGGACCATACTATTCAGTGGCTTCTGCTCGGGAGATTGATCTGAGCACGTTAGATTGATTCCACTGACTGGACAATCAATCCCCTAGCAAAGAACCCTTCATCATGCGTGGGCTCGTTTTATCCCCAGATTGATGCGTCACGCATCCCTCAAGGCTCCCTGTATGTCCTTCTTTAAATCACGCCACCACAAGGAAGCTCACTTTGCATTGGACCGAAAGATTACCTATTGACTAGGTTTAACCCCGTCAAAACGGGACATACGGTGAGATCATAATCAAGGTGATATGGAGGCTTCTCAAAATAGTGGTCCCCCACCATGGCAAGTTCCCTTTACAAAAAGCATCCAGCATTTTGAGAAACACTGAAATGGCTCTGGGTCAAAACCCTGTACCCCTGGTGAACATCAAAATGTGGCAAATGGATGTTCATCCACCCCAAAATGGAGCCATAGGTTATGCCCCATGGCCAAATGGCCACAACTTTCACCCGGACTGTGGTCAACCCTGGGCCTGCTGTGTGCAGCTTCCGCAGCTGCCCAGCGAGCTGCCAGAGCAGTGCGGCCGCACGGCGCGGGCCCCAGGCGCGCTCGACGGTGAGGTCCCCGCCCTGCGACATGCAAAAAATCCGCGAGGGGATCAAAAGGGGAACCCTTCTTGATTGAATTTCAAATTCATCCCTTGCCATTTTTGGCAGCTTTTATTGTTTCCCAGCTGCAGGCTTGGGGGTCACTGCTGTTGGCCATACAGGTTGGGCTTAATTGATTGATTCTCCAGCGAAAAGAGGAAAACTGGATGCAACTGGACCAACGGGGGAAGGGTTTGAGGCAGTCGCACAGAACGCGGCATGCCAACCTTTCTTGGAGCACCTTGGAGGGGGCTGCTCCAAATGGCCTGTCACATCAGTAGAAAATCGGTCCCCGGAATCTGAAAACAACAACCTTGTCGAGTGAAGCGCTTCACTCCACAATACATTTGAGAGATTGTTTTTTTGGAAACGCAAAAGGGTGACTTACCATTCTGGGAGATCCCCGAGCTTGAGACATTGGTTGTGGCCAAGAGGCGCACCTTTCTGAGCAGGGAAACTGTTACGGACTGGTTTGAAGAAATGTGTTTGTCCACAAAGCAAGATAAAGCAAGGCTTTTGCAAATGATTCAACAACTGAGTGTGTTCGTTTGAGTGGTGGGAGGCGGTGGAGTAGCTCGATGTTAATCGGACAACGTACGCCCTACCCATCCGTTAGGGCAGATCAAATCCTGCGCGCCGGGAGCGCTTAAGCCGTCCCAGGGAGACCACGAGTCCTGCTGTTGGAGTGGACTCATCACACAGCTTGCCATTTGTATGTTCCCTCAAGATGGCCCTGCCAGCAAGAGCCGGGAAAAGCCAAGTAGCGGATTGAATGAGGCACCGATCGTCCCCGATCCGATCTTGTCTTTAGCGCTGAAACTTGGCCCAGATCTCTGCCAAGGTTGCTCCTGCGCAAGGGCAGGAGCTGGTCCCTGAAAAAAAAACCGAGCAGGCCCCCACCCAGAAACGACCAGTTTCAAGTTGGCCCGCCTGGGGCCAGGCCACACACAACGAGGCCACGGAGCGGCGCATCGCCAAAGGCTTGGCCTGATCTGGGCGGCGGAGGGGTTGGAAACCGGGCGCAAAGCAACCTGTAATGGCTGACATAAGAGGAAATCTGGTCCGCTTCTCAACAACCACACGCTTTTGAGAACACTGTGTCCGCCAATGATTCACACCCAGCTGGGGGTTCTGCCCGAGAGAAATCCTTTCCAGCAGGCGCCTGCGCCAGCTTCGTCCAGACGCGAAGCTCTCTCATGATCTGATCCGCCTGTCCCGTCGCACTGGTTAAAGCACGTGGGTGGCTCAAAAAACATAGGGCCAGGAAGCGTCAGAAGTCTTGCTAACCCGGAAACGTGAACCATCACGTGATGCAAACCATGCTCCAGCAGCGAGCGCCCACCTTCCACCCGACCCCCCAACCCTCCCCACGCAATTCAGCAAGTCCAAGCAGCCCTGCTAGCCAATCCAGTCTGTGGGTCGTCAGCAGCTTCAAGCTAGGCCAGCCAATTTCACACAGCTCAGGATCAGCGGCGCTGTTGGGCCAGAGATGACTAGAATGGGGCAGCGGATCTGTTGTTTTTCTGCCGCCTGCGGCGTTGCGGGGCTTACGTAATCGTATTCTCCCACCACAGAAAAAGGGAACGCCTTGTGCACCATGGACGGCTACGTGGAGCTAGGCCCCAGTTGCTCAGCCCCTCGCCTGGCCCAAGCAACCTACATGGACACGTGCTTGCGATGATCTACGGGGTGGGTGCGCTGTGGTGTAGGTATTACTTTGAGATGGAGGTGCAGGCCTGCATGTCTGCTGCATCGCCGAGGTTGGCAAATGATGTTCGCTATACCCATAAGTTGGCGCTTCATTCAGCCGGGAATCACAAGTGTCAGTTTTAACATTGTGGGCGGATATCTTACATCGTGTCGTGGTGGGAAAACTTAGCAATGTTGGAAAACACTTGCGTGTGCTTTGCCGGGTTCGAGCGTCAGGTTCCCTGAGTGCAGCGTACATCCAGCAATACATTTCCGTGATTTTGGAGCGCTTTGGGAACGCGGGCAGCAGTTGATGGGTGCTGCAGCTGATCGGTCTGTTTTTCATTGCCGTGGGCTCGTTGCAATGTCTGTGGTGGAGGCTAGGCTTGGCTGCGCCTATCTCCGCCGCGCGCCTTTACGCCCTTCCTCACACACGGGGGCGAAAGGTGATCAGGGAGGCGTTGCCAAGCAAATGCATTTGGTTTGTAGAGAATTTGGAACTGCTCACTTTGGACACGCGTGAGCCCTCTATGTTTAAGGAACTTGTTGTTTGATATGACGTGCGCATTTTGCTTGAACAAGGGGCTGCTTTGTCCCCGTGGTGCTTGTGCAACTGCAGCGTTGGTTGCTTCAGTGCCGGGCTTCTTCCTGTTCTTCTAAGACTCCCTGAATAGGGGCTTCATGGCATCTGGTGCGTTTACGTCGAGACTTATAGGCTGGCACATCTGTGGCGCTTGCATTGCTCAGCACGATGCCCTGTGGCGCTGCTTTTACCATATGTCCGGCTGCCATGCGGCGCCCTGTCTTTCAGTCTTTCAAGTGCCAGCGTGCACCTCAGGCATCACTGCCCCTTGTATCAGGTAGGGCAGTGTGAAGGGTGCGTTCCGCCGAGAGGCCGATCGCGAAAAGTTGCTCAGCCCCACCCCCAGCTTAGCCCATAGCTCTGAGTCCGTGATAGCCAGTCCAGCTCATTCCGTGCAAGTTCCATATGGATAGCCAGGGCAGACCACAAACCTTTCTTCAATATTGGGATTTGGAGCGCCCAAAATGGTCTTCGGTTTTTTAACGGTCTCCCGTCAAAACCGCCGCCCCAACAAGGAACCCTAAAACAAAAACACACACACTCACATCATGTTTCTCAGACCCATAAATGGAGCATATCTGGGCAACTCAAAGTACTGGTTCGCGTTTGCAAGCCAACAACAAGGACAGTCTGGACCTTCACCGTGGGTGAGCTCATCATTGGCCCACATGCATGATCTTCCTCTAACCCGCGGAAATCAGGGAAACTCATGTTAAACCAGGGGCCACCTTGGTCTACCCGATGTTCCTTGTAGCGTATGTATATATATATATATATATATATGTATTATATCAAGCTTCGTTCTGGCTTGCCTTTTTCCGCGCTGCAAGACCAGACTTGTCTGATAACACTTGGAATACACCACACTCGAAAAAGAAACCCGTCCCTACCAAGAAATGTTCAAGACCGCGGGGTCTTCCTGACCAAGTGCAGACAAGCCCCAGCCCCAATCTAGACTAGAGACCTCCCCCTTTATGTCTGGCCAAGCCCAGAAACCAAAAGGGGGTGCAGTCCATGAGTCGGATTTCCCCTCGGCTTCTTTTAAAAGTCATTTGCTGCCTCCCTGCAGCTTTTTCGAAACGGTCGGCCGGGCCCTTTTTTTACCTTCATTCCACGTCCCCCAGTCCTGCCGCAGGCTCGCCTGCCAGACCTTCGTTTAAATAGATCCGAGCAGTCTTCTGTGCCTGCACCTTCCTTGGAGCGCTGTTTGCGTAACCAAAGGTTGCGCCACCCCGTCTCAAGCTATAAGGACGGAACCCACACTCCTTGAGAAATCATGCAAGTACTGGGCAAATTTCTTGCGCCAAGTATGGGGAGCACTACACAATTTGGGGGAGACTGTTGAGTCAAACGACGAACTACGTCGGCCACTCCGACTGTGACACTCTCAGCGGCCCCTTGCCGCTTTCCTGCTGTTGTCAGCCCGAAGGAAATGACAGCCGGGGCCAGGTTGTTGCCAGTAGCGACATGGAATTGTTGCCTGTGCGCAACATTGAAAAAACTCCAGAAGGAGAGAAAGAGCAAAAAGTGGGGCTTTCCAGAAATTGTGCGAGGCCAACCAGGGCTTGAAGGATATTCTCAGGGGTGCGCGATTTGGCGACCCCTGTTTTCATCAGCCTCCAACTTTGCTGGAGCTTGATCTGCGGTTGGGCATCCTGAAGGGCAGCCGCCTTCGCCGGTGGCCCGCAAATGCGGGTGCTACTTTACCCATTTCTTCTGGACAATTCGCCCGGTCGGTCGGCCGGATTTTGTCAGGTGTGGGCGTAGGCCCACACAAGGAAATTTCGGGAGGCCAAAAGAAGACAATTAATGCGGGTCAAAGTTCGACGAAGTTGCGACTGCTGGTGCGCCCTCGGGCAAGTGAGTGCATGCATACTAAACTGTCCGTGAGGTGAATTAACTTTCCTCGACTCACCTTCTTCTTTTCCACCCACCATCGGATGCTGGTTAAAAGGGCCCTGAGCTCAAGGCAATTGATATGCTCGGCATCGCCGCAACTGGCGACTGGAAGATGCCGGAAGGAATTTGAGCTGCCCTTCTGCCAATGAGTGTGCTAAAATGTCTTTCTCAACTCGAAGCTTGTTTCCGCAAAAAAGATAAAGGAGGTCTCTGTAGAAAGTTCATAAAACTGTGACAAGCTCCTGGCTTGGTCGCTTCCACTGCT